CGTGCACCCTTTTACGGTCCAGCCTGATCTTGGCGCTCGAACGTTGGCAAACATTCGCAAGATCCTGCGTTCAGCCAGTTCTGTGGTTGCGGGTCGCAAGAAGCTCCTTCAATACTGGACGCATCGAGCAGTTCAGTTCTTGCCGTTGACAGATCCTCTTCTGCGCGAAGAGCTGGATCCGCATCTTCGTCGGCCGGCTTCTTCGAGGTGTTCCTGACAATCAACCCCCTTATAGCTCGACAGGACTTGCCGCATCGAGCTCTACATAGAGTTGCTTGACGCGGCCAAATGCGTGGACACGAGCGTGGTCACCCGCTTGAGATCGGGCTTTTCCATCGTTGGGGACATCGAGCGATCCAACCGATGGCCTCCGTTCTCGAAAAGGACCAGGAGATAGTTCCCTAGAAGTTTCGGACAAAGATTTTTCGTAGATGCTCTTCTGTTCTGGTCAATGACAACCTCAGGTTGATTGTCTACCATCGACGACGTCAAGGAGGGCTATAGGCGATGGGATCGTTTGTGAAAGTTGATCAGGTCTCAGCCGTAGTATGGTCTGACGAGTGGATCCCAACCCAAAGGTCGAAGTGGTCCAGAAGAACAAGGTCAGAGGTTTCGACAGCGCGACTTCCAACCTTATCAACAAGACCTTGATGATCACCGAGAAGCTACAGCTGCCGTCCACAGACATCAATGTGGCAGTTCTTCGTGAGCTCCTCACCCAATTGGGAAGAGGAAGGTTGCTCAGCCGGGGTCCTAGACGAGCGAAAGTGCTGCATAGTCCAACGCGGCTACCAGCATTACAAGTTAACGCCTACAGACAGATCCTCATTCAGGTCGACCATCGTCGTCTCAGTGTGATCTGCCTGAAAGACCCCAGAGGACCGTCAGCCAAAGTTCTTCGTGATGATTGGCCATTCGTTCGGCCTCGTCTCGGCAGTCTACAACTATCATCGGAGGTCAGCAGCCATTAATTAACGGGTAATTAACGATGTCTTCGAGGAGATCTTCTCGATGGTCGCCTTCAACTGAATACGATGACGACAAGTATGGATTCGAAGCAGCCGGGACGGCTCCGTCGGCTAAAGAATTTGCCGAAGGGATCCATTGCATTTTGGGAGTTCAATTTGAGAAGAATAAGCTCCAGCTCTCGTGTTCCCCGGTCATCTTGGGGGCCACTTACAACCTCGAAGAGATGGTGCTCGAGATCAAGAAGAGTTGTAAGGAGGAGCTCACCGACACGATCGCCTCCATCTTGAAGTCGGGCACGCTGGACCCGGGCTCGAGGGCAAGCTCATTTGTTCGGGTCGAGCCATACCTTCTTCAGGCCCCTTTCGGAAAGACAGTAGGACATGGATGCAGATCGCATGTCCCTCACTCCGCAGTTGGTGCGCTCGCTCCAGCGGTGGAACAAGCTGATCACGTCAGGGCCGCCGAGAGATCTCCCTCAGGTGCGAGAAGAAGTGCTCTCTTCACTGATGGGTTCGCTCCGGACCCAAGGAAGTCAGAGAAAGGCGAGGACAGGGTCGGGGCGGTCATGTTCGATCGCAGGGCGGATCGCCCTTTCCAGTTCTCAGAGATCATCGACAAGGACGTCTCGAAACGTTGGCTTCCGAGGAAGACGGATCGTCCCCATTGAGATGATCGCCACGGTGCTCTCGATCGAGACGTTCAAGGATCACCTGAGAGGCAAAGATGTTCTTCTGTTAATTGACTCTGAAGCAGTTGAAGCCTCTTTGATGGTCAAAGGCTATTCCTCGAAGCAGGATCTTTGCCTGATCATTGAGATGTTTTGGGATCTTGCTCTTGAGCACAAGATCAATTTCTTTATCGATCGCATTTCATCCGACTCAAATCCCGCGGACTGGCCGTCACGGAACCGGATCGGGGAATCGGTCGGCTGGCAAACGGTTAACTGCTCGTGGCCGGCTGCTTTTCAGTCTTGAAGTTGTTGGGGATGGGCCTGGGCATGGCTGCTCCGGATCCCGATCGAAAAACATTGGGATTCTCGTGTTTTATGTTTTCCCACGTCTGGGCAGGAAAAAGAGTTCTCTGCTTCCGGCTCACTGTTGCATGCTGATCAGCGAAGTTCCGTAGCGTTCATGTCCTGAAAGTGGTTCTCCTACACGGTCGGGTGGGTAGGGTAGGAGGGTCACGCACATGTTGACAGGTCTGCGTGCAGAGCTTGATCAAGCTTGTGCATGTCTGTTGCCATTTTGGCTCCAAGCGATCGCTTGGCTTGATCTGTCAGTTTTTCTCCCACCCACCCTTCCCCTCATGGATGCAACGTTCGCTGCCGAATTTGACACAGCAGCTCACGATGTGGGGGGATTGCAATGCTCTTGCAATGGGGACACATGCCGATCTCTTTCGATCATGTGTCCATTGCGGTCTGATGATAGGCTTCTACTGCGACAAAGTACATGGGATCCCGTGTTTCGCAGCAGTTCGGGTACCGAGTGAACAGTGGTGCCGTGGTCAGCGAACACCACTTTGCACACGCTGCGATCGCATCTATGAAGCCTGTCATTTTTGCCGGGGAGTTCACATGTGCACTCCGCCCAACAAAATTGGGATTCTCGTGTTTTAAGGTCCGAGACATTTGGCAGCTCGCCGGCAGTTCTGCCGTGAAGGCAGTTCTGCTTCCAAGATCTGACAGACATTTTGCTCGAGTCTGTTGATCATCAACCTGCTCGTCCCCACGCCTGAGCAGGAACAAGGGTTCCCTGCTTCCGGTTCACTGTTGCATGCTGATCAGCGAAGTTCGTAGCGTTCATGTTTGGAAAGTGGGTCATATTTAGTCAGATCCTCTGTAGGGAATATGTTCAGCAGGCCCAGACGACTCGAATTTCTATCCGTGCGAATTATGAGCAAAAGACCATGGACAACGAACATGCACCCAGGAATTATTGTCCTGACCTACCTCGATTTGACGATGCCGACAATTTCCGAATCGTTTCATTTTCATATGAATGATCGTGACAGCTGTTGCCCACCATGATTGAAACCTCATATGCTGGTAACTGCGATTACCAAAATTTGAATGTCATTGCGCTCAGCTCCTGCTAGTGCAGATTCAATCATTTGCTTCATTTTTCGCTTCGCATTGGTTTTGTTCTTGTGATCTGTCCTGAATGTTGTGCTTCGTTAAGTTCCGGTTCGACGTTCCCCACAAAACAAATTGTTTTGCAGCTCGTCATCGGAGATCTTATAATGTAAATTACGAGCCCAGCCCTTCGGGGTTGCCTGTGAGGTCAGATGCTTTGCAGGTGAAAGTACTCTTCAATCTTCGGTTCAAGCCAAAACCAACTAGGTACGCTGTACCAACATGGGGATATCTCCGAGTTTGTGCCATTGATTGTAACAAGCCTGCACTGAGTTCAAAGTTGACTTCGAGAAAACAGCAGTGATTGCTGAGTTGGGGTATGCAATCATTGCATGAACAAAGTTGGGGCCATTCCTCGCAAACAAGGCAAGTCAGATTGCGAAAACTCTTCAAATAACATGTCATCAGAACATGTATGGTTTATGGCTCAAATTCTGGAGAATTGGGTACAGGTGTTTTTTTTTTTCAGACGGAGGACGGGAGTGCGGGGTGCGAAAGAAGAGGAAGCGGGTCGTGAGGGGGGAAGGGGAAGGACACTGCGAGGGGTTCCCTCGACGGCTACGCTACAGGATTGCCGGTTCGCGTTTCTAATCACAAGTCAGCAGCTGCTCATCCCCGCTGCAGCTGCTTGAGACGATATTCGAGTCTGGGGAAGCCTTCTTTCGGAAGTATCTGGCAGACAGCAACGGCGAGGTCGGGACATTGCACCGCTCCTCATGCACACGGGCAGCAAAAAGGCGCCGTGCGGCATTGCTGCTGTTGGCTCGCGAGGCGTGCTGGGCATGGCGGCAAAAACCCTAAAATTCAAAGGGAAACATGGCGCAACAGTGGTGTGGTTCGGCGTGCTCGCCTCTTGCGTCGCAAGCCCACGCGTGCGCTCGAGGGCTTCATCGAACGGTGTCTCGCGAGGATAGGACGTAACCCCGTCGCTGAAGGCATCAACATCAACCTTGCCGCGCATCCAAGCACGCCACGACCACGGCTTTGATGCAACAGCTAAAGCAGACGCAAGCCACGCCGCGGGCAACGTGCATCTAGTCCGGCCGTCAGGACTCATAAATTAGGAATTGAATGTGCTCAAATGGTTGGTGAAGGAAATCTGGCACCATCTAGAGAATGTGGAGCACACGAACTACTTGAATGTTGGGATCTAGGCAAGTTCCGTGGTGCAGCATTTCTTGCATCGATTGGTCATCTGACTCAGGGACCTCTAGGAATACAAAACCGAAATAGCTATACCACGCGATGCCACATTATGTTATATTAATATTCCACATTTGTAGATTTAAGGGCCCAAGCTAAGCATTCTCTGTCCTTAGGGAAGAGTCAAACGGGGCCTGATACCAACAAACTTGGGCACCTCGAAAGTCAATGAAACAGGTGGTGAATCCCAATTTCGGAATGAGCGCATGCCTTATGATGTCTTGGTGTTCTTGTCCTGGGGTAGATGTGACTTCAACCCATTTCATGGAGTGATTCCTTTCTCCTGCTTGTCTACGTCTCACGCATGTGACTGGGAACAAGGCATCGGCCGTGATCATGACCCCAGAGCGCCCGTATGAATCTAGCCTTCCTAGCCTGCCGCAGTGCGTGAGCTAGTGGTAAGTGAGTGGTCTCTTTAGCTCAAATTTGCAGACGGCACTGGCGGCGAGTCATTCATGTGCAATTTGAGTCCTAACACGCAAAGCAAAACTACAGACCGGACTTTGCCCTACGCAGCATGGTTTCTGTTCCATGCCAAACCCGAACACCGTTGTAGAATCATGTGCCATAGGGTGATTGTCATCTCAATAACCGGACGAAGATCAAGGCGCAGTGTCGGTCCTCCTACTGGGCACCTCCCTCTCTCTCTCCTGCCTCCACGCAAAAGAACGAGATAAGGCGCGAGACTTGTCAGGCGGCTGAGAGCCACGCGAAAAAGCTTCGTGCCGCCACGTTGGTTGCTCAGAAGCTGGCGCCACCTGGCAGCAAAGTCTCATGCCCAAGGGGTGCATGGTGGAATGTAGAGGGCAGTGACATATACCGTACCAGGGTTTTGCAGGGGTTCTTGGCAGTTGCAATGGGAGACTGTTGTGGCTGCCTTTTCATTAAAAGTAGCCTCCATTCATGAAGAGAGTCTACACCCGCTGATCTTTGAGGGTATGTGTTAGCGGGGAACAAAGAGAGTGTGTTGACTTGCAATCTGCAGTAGTTGCCAAGGCAAAACTTTACAGCATCTCCGGAGGCGGCTCTTGGGTTTGAGTTTTGGTAGAACCAGCAGTTCATTCTATCATGCCCATGTGCGATGGAAGATTAGGCTGTTGTATATCCTTCAGGGCTAAGCTTCATGATTCTAATTTCGGATGCATTGCAAAATCATAAATGACTGCATCTCCGCAGCCATGCGTCTGCTGGTATGTTTTTGATTTGTGTTTGCTTCCAGACTGCGCAACAAGCCTATCGTAGTAGTTAGTTAGGCAATGTTAGGCACATCTGCGGTCGCCGAGAACCCAAACAGTGACACGGAAGCTGGGCTCTGAAGGACATTGCAGATGATCTGCGAAAGCATGTGACGGAGTCCATGGAAAAGGCATCAGCTGGCTTTCGAGATGTGCGGTTGTGGTTGGAGTTGTGCCAATAAGATTTCGAGCATCAGGCAAAGCTAGCGAAGTAGCTGCTACACCTGGACGACCCTGTGCACGTTACCCGGGGCAAATCTGAACAATTTCAAGGCGTCAGCCCTTCAACATGCAACGTTAAGGGTCACAAGGTTCGCGCTAGCACGGCTTTTACAAGGATGTGCTATTTACAGTCACTCTGAGGCGGTGAACTGTGCAAAGGCATGTTTTCTCTCCGACTATGAAGCATAGGAAGCTATTGCTGGACACTGATCCTGAGTTCCCGGGCTCGGAATTTAACCAAACTCTACAGTGTGGGCTGTCGAAGCCACAGGTGGGCCACTAGGCTAAACGTTTCAAGATGTTTAATGCAGGTTGTATATCTGCCTTCAACTAGGAATTTTTCTGGCCTCCTGCTGCAGGCCCGTGGTGCCAAGGAAAGTGCGAAGGCCACGCTGGCAATGGCCCAGGAGGCCGCGATGCCCACGCGTTTCTGACACGGCTTCGCATGATTGGTCACCATTCGTTGTGCGTGGTGCAAACTCCTAGGCTTGCTGCAGTGCTTTAGGTTCAAGGTGTTTGCAAGCACTTCTTGTAACGTGACATTTGCATTGGCACATGCAACGTTTCAGGCCGAACTCGTCGGCCCAGCAGTTCTAAGTGATGCTGCTGATGTCCGTTTGTGGAAAGCGCCCAGTTGTTTCAAGGCGTCCGAGGCTGCTCATTCCGTGCTCAGTGAGGCAAACGCCTCGGAGGCCTTGCTCGGATGCATTTGGTTGCCGTCTTGTCTTGAAGCGAAACCTGTTTCTCAGAATGAAGCTGCTGCCGCTGTATCCCGTGCAGAAAGCACTGGTATCGAGATTGAACATGCAGTTTGAGCAGTCAGTGCAGTAGTGCGCAGCGCAGCCTGATTCGACCTCACCCGACCACCCCATATTCTGGTTAGGTCCCAAAATGGCTTTATTTTCGTCATTGAAATACTGTAAGTAGTCCTGGCTTGTGCGGTAGTACAGCCGAGGTCTTAGAGTACTGTACCCTAGTTGCTAAGCCCGAACCCTCGGTTGCGTGACAGGTAGCTGCGCGGACCTTGTTGGATCGGGCACTGGCCCAGGCGGATTGGGACGTCAAGCATCGTGCTTTCGCTGCAGTCTGACAAGTAGAAATGGAGTTCTGGGGTCTTGTTCCACGACATTTTGGGCACCTTTTTTTCAACCCTTTGTTTTCTGCCGTTTTTTTGGGCGGCTGCGCCTGCCCGAACACCCGCGCTTGTTTACAGGTGAACCCTGCAGGAACTGCTGAAAGACCCATATTCATCCTTTTAAGACCTGGTCTACAAGCCTTGTGTTTGCAAAAATGGGTGCCTCTCCCCCAAACCCTCCCGTCGCTTTAAGCCGAACAACTTCTTTTTAGAGCTGTATGATTTTTTTTTAAACATTCCTTGTGTGCTTTTTTATTTACAATGCATTTGTATTCTACACTACCCATTTTTCACTGGGCTTGTTACGCTTATCGTTGTTTTTTTACTATGATTACCAGTATTATTGGTACGTTTGTTATGATGACTATACTGTTACTACTGCTGTTACTATTATTAAGGGTTGTTGCCATTAATCGTATTCTCACTGTTACTATTATTCTGCTATTGCTGTATCATGATTATTGTTATAACTAAAACTGTTAGCATCCGTACTGTATTTAGTGTCATTTTTAATTCTATGATTATCAAGCTTAAAAATGCGATTATCAAACTTATTATTATTAGTATTACTATTCCCGTTATTGCTATTATTCTTCTTACTGTTATTCTCCTTATTGTTATTATTCTTATTGCTATTATTCTTATTACTACTATTCTTATCTAGTTTTACTATTACTACTATTATCATTGTCATTATCACTATTATCATTACTCCTACCATCCTCAATATCTTTAGCACCATATTTTCTTATCTTTCTCAGTATACTATCACTACTGTTATGGTCTTTGATACTACTATGGTTACTACTATTGCAAATACTTACTATTATTTGTGATTGTCAATATTTGTCTTCCTGCTCTGATTCCTATTGCTACTAAGCTGGGGAAATCGAGTTCTCACGTGGAGCGTCTTACTATTAGTGTATTAGTTGTCTCATCACTATTCTTATTGGTATTGTCCACATTGCTCTTGCTACAATTATTTCTACTACTGCTGAGCGACCTCTCGCGTGGAGTGTCGTCACATTCTCCAAAACAAGTCTCGCATGAAGCGTCCTCACTCTTTTGCACAGAAGCCAGCACTGGCGCGGAGAGTCCTGGCATTTTGCCTCGAAATTGAGCCCTCGCGTGAAGCGTCCTCCTCACAAAAGAAACGAGAAAGAAACAAACAAAAAGGACGAACAAAATGAATAAAGGGAAGACAAACTCTTGGAAAGCTATTTTGTAACAAGACTGAGACATATCTACTAAAAGGCCATTTTGACACCCACATCCAGATGATCTGAAGTCCTAAGTATCGGACCGCGAAATTCCAGACGACAGTGCGATGACAGATAACATGATTTGTTTCAGAACTGGGTGCTGGCATTACGTAGATTCAAGCTGCTTCTTCCAAAATCAGGCCGGAGACAATGTAAGTGGTTAGCAACGAGAAGTCACAATCCAGGATAGACGTGTGCCTGCAGTCCCAATTGGTGATCCCTGGCACATTTTCCGCACGCCCTCAAGCGATTGACAGGCCAAGCAACTTGACGAGTTGGAGCAGCGGACTGCCACTGCCGCTAAGCAGGTGAGGGCTTTCCCCCCTTTGCACGGCCATTTTTGGGATCAGGCCAAGGCCATTTATGGTTCTATCGGGTTGCACGAGGAAGGCCTCGAGGTATTCTGTGTCTTGCAGACAGGCTCAGAAACGCAGAGTTGCCTTTGCAGAATTTCGTTCTCGCAGCACCGTCTCTAGATGTCTCTAGATCTCAGCAGATACAGTCTCTTATCGTTCGCATCGGTCAACGAAACCCAGGTATGAGTTTCAGGAGGATGCACAAACGAGCATACGCTCGCGAGGGTACAGTGAAAAGTCCCAGCATATAATGCTCAAGATGGACGCTTGACAATCCTTTCATGAAGAACCTGATTCCGAGGACGTGGGTTGTGAAGGGTCAAATTTTTGCATGGATGCAGGTAAAACAGCCTCATAGCCCGCCAAAGCAGCTCCAGGGCCCGAAGAGCTTTCTTTTTGGAAGCAGGGCTGCAGGCAAAGTTCACATTGGAGGGCGCCGCCCCACTGAGCAACCTATCTGAGCAAATTCTGTGCAGATCATCAGAGCCTTTATGGTTAACTGATTCGCTCGGCGCAGCACTTGCTGTTCTTGGTGAGTCACCACGGCTACTCAAAATGGGATTCTGCTTGGTTGATCAAACTGTTCCATGCAGAGGCTTGCTTGGGGTTCCAGTTCCCAGTCTTCAATTGTTCTGAACTCCGGACTTTAGGTGGAACTAGTGGTTGGGTGTACAGGTATTTGCGCCAGTTCGCTGCACAAATGGTCATCGTGATCCTGCCGTTTCGCTCCACCGAACAACGAGCCACATTGCTTTGGATGTTCCTCATGTTGTGCAACATCTGCACCGAGTGCGCCCTCCTGGCAGCAGAGTCCAACCAGTCAGACAGATCATCATTGAGTCTCAGACTCAAACAACGTCCCCTGGTGGGTAGAAGAAATTCTATATGCCATATCCTGTGTGTCTGATGATAGTCCATGAAGGTCTGAAGGAGAAATGTGAACTGTTGCGCTGCAGAGCTGCTCACGGCCTTCAGGGTAGCAGCCGTAAACTCAGAAATGATGCCGAAGCTGCCTGCGCAGGCAGAGGTGACGGAGCTACTAAGGAAGGCCTGGACTTTCCTTGCATGAGGGCGCAAGAGCAAAATCCATCAACAGCCAGCAGGCAGCAGACTGTTCCTCTATCCGTCTTCACAAAGAACTTGTCTTGTTTCCAGAAAATTTCCCCGGAGCATGCTTCCCGCAGTCCGTTTGCCTCGGTGCAGCTGCGTATCTGACAGGATTTCCATATTATTTGAGTCACTCTACCATATGGCTGCCTTGATGATAGGCCGGCCTCATACATGAAGTGAAGGCGTCCTGATGCTGATGAGTGCGCGGAGATTTGACCAAGTATCTCTACTCGTCTCAGATTTAAGCCAGCAAGGCTGTACAGATCTCACGTCTCGGGGATGCCTTGTCTCAAGCTTTAGAAGATGCACATGCAGCAGACAGCTCTGCAGACCAGCCTGAGGAAAAGAAAGCAGATGATCTCTTAGAAGCATGTTGGCCACATTGGCTTACTGTCATATGATATCGTATGCCTGTATGCTTGGTTTCACATGTTTGGAGTCTAGCAAGTGCCTAATCAGGGATGACGATGCGTAAGGGCATGCTCGAAGGAAGACAAGAAATTTGGATTTGCTGGCTGGTCAGGTCTTCATCAATTTTGCCAGTACCTAGCCTCCCTCAGAATCCACTTTTCCGAATGCCTTAGAGCCCCAGCTCTCCTGAAGGTTTTGCTTGTTTTTAATTCCTCTGCGCATCTTTAAGGTCCTGGTGGTTCTTAGAACTTCCTCCGATTGTTGTTGGGTTCTTAGAAGCACTTCCGAGAGGCTGATGTCCTTCGAGAAGAAGGCATTGCTAATATTCACACTCCAGCTCATCATTCTGGTTTCTTCAGCCGGCTCAGCACGGCAGGCGTCGTCCGTGATGGGAGCCCAGTACGTTTTGCCAAGACGAAGCCAGGGTGCCTTAACACCAGCGCAGATTGCAAGCTAGCTCTCGCAACCGCGATCCACATCCTTGTAGCTACAGTGATCCAGACCCTCGAACTCAATCCACAAGCTACCCCCAGTACTGTGCCGACCCAAAGGCGCCGACGCCCAAGTTTCTCTTCCACTCCAGAACAAAACTGGTTTACTTGTCAAGGGGGTCATGGTAGGGGATCATTCAAAGTGCGCATAAAATTGCACAGACGCTTCGGCCATGGGCTTGATCTCCAGTTGTTGCTCGCAAGATGCGGGCAGCCAAAGCATTCCAGCTGCGCAGATGCCCTCAGGCTCAACGACATGATCTACTGAATGCGCAGAGAAGCATTAGAATTTGAGCTCTTCCATCTGGTTTTCGTGCTGGAAGCTGTAGTGAAGTGCCTGTAAAATTTGCATTGAGGGCCTGCGGGCAATCAAGAACTTAGGATGAAGCCTTGCACTTCACGTCGTCACATCGGTCACAGGTCCCTGGCTAATGGTTTGTTGGTTTTTGATAATACGCTTCCTGGGCCGCATGTTCTTTTTTTTCACATTGCTACTGCTTCTACTTTTTTGTTTCGTGCGATGCAGCAAACACCGCATTTTGACATTGCAAGCAGTCTGTTACATGTCGTTATACTGTGTAGTGCAATCTTACCTAGATACGCCATAGTTGCTCGCTTAACAGCACGCTCTGCCTTGCTCACTGAGTGCGCATACAGATCCCAAGCTACGAAGCGTTGGCAACACTTTGTTTCAGTAGTAGCCCTGAAGCTGTTTGAGAACTCGGTCTCGTACAATTGCTGTAAGGACTTGGTCTCGTAAAATTGCTGCAAGGAACTGCTTTTGATCGTGAATGTGAAGTGGGAGCATGTGACCCACATCTCTACAGCCCCGCGGCAATAGCAAAACCTTTTCAACAAGTCCTTGTCATTCTCACTATTTGAGGACCGCGACTTCAGTCCCCAGGGGAGCCATGCACTGTTCCTGAAAGCTCAGATCTCACTTCTCACCGCACGTCACTGCTTGGTCCAGCCAGGTGAACATGCATTCCTCTTGAACCAGGACTGCCGCCTGCACTGAGAAAGAATGCACCATGAGAGGAATTTATGCCCAGACTCAATGTGCCGTCAAACGCTTACTGCGCAGGCTGAGGCTTTCAGGCCCTGGGCCAGGCATATACTTCTGTCGCCACCGTGGCAGAAGCACCCAAAATGGAGAAGCATACTTGCTCCTATATCTGATTTGTAACGCAGGCTATTCGTTCCAGTGCTCTCAGGACCTAGTTCAAACCGACGCTATCCGCCATGAAAGGAGAGACGCCATGCCGACGTGGAACACGCAGCTG